TTTGTAGAAATTTCCCCATTAAAAAAAAAAAACCTAATCTTTTTCTAGTACTCTTATCGATATTACGAAAATGTCACTGTAGTAATATTTCAAATGAATTGTGACATCTTTTTATATTTTTTTCACATAGCAGACATAATTAACTTTGAATGTCGTTCCAAGAGAACTCGATTTTAGGGAAGTTGTTCTCAATTGGGAGGGGATATGGTAGGCTGCTAGGCCCGCCAAAGGCCCTTGTAATTGATTTTGTAAGGCAAGGAAAGGTGCTGGTATACAGTAAGAGTTCCTCCTCAGTTGCTATTAGTTGTTAGTGCCTATACCACTACACATATAATATAACACACATTGGATTGGATGAGGGAAAATGTGGGTGTTGAAAAGCACATATCAATGACCCACGCACGCATGCTGTTGGAAATACGTGACCTTGGAGGCACTCATCATGCCTCATTAAACAAAGTCACCGAAGACAAGTAGAAGGAGGGGAGACCTCATCACAACATTTTCAACTTCCGACTCTATGCAGACGTGAGTTAGGTTAATAATTCAATGTGCATAATGTCTTTCCTCTTACTTTTTACGAGTTTGAAATCTTATCATGTAATATGCAATAAAATTTAAACAAGTAGAGGGATACTTGAAAAATAAGAAAAATATATTTTCTCCACTTGTATAATAACATATAGCGTAATGATTCGTGTTCTCGGCACATTGAAAAATCTTTATGTTGCTTGAGGTCGAGAGTTACCCACCACCGTTGAAAATGAAATCAAAGGTGATGATTGATTTGGAGTAGATAGCTAATGTGGATCCTACTGAGTTCATCCTTGCTACTTTTCTCTTTTTCTTTTTCTTTTTCAACCCATAAACCAAAACCTTTTGGAGTTGTAGACTTGTAATTTCAGCTTTTTTCTTTTGTTCTCGATTGAATGAATCCGTGATTTTAGCTTCAGTAGGTTTTATAAATCAACGGCGTGATAGGTGGCAATTGAGTTGGGTGGGGTCATGCAGGATCTCAAGACGAATAAGCAACGTAAGTACTGGAATTGGATCCTATCTGGATTCATTTTGGGCGATCGGGTCGTTATAATATACCGTAGACATTCATTCTATCATTTTATTTTTATTATTTAAAATTAAACATAAATAATATCTGAATAAAACTGACCACACGATGTACAACGAACGGTCAAGATATGGGGATCTTTAGGATTCTCACAAAGTTGATCCAAAGAGGATCTTCTTCCCATAACAATGATTTCTCCATTGGATCTGATTTTCACTTACCATTTTTAACGCTTCACACGCACATTCATTTTTAATTTTAGCTATCAAATTAAATCAAACGAAGCAATGGACAAGATTGAACAAATGTGTGTAAAATGACAAAAATTGTGTGTGTTTAGCATTTAATTTATATGTAGACTCTACATAGCTTAAGTTAAACAACACAAAATTGCATGTTTTGATCTAGTCACTTAGCTTAATAAGTTTGTGACTCAAGCGATTAAGAATATTTATATTTACACTCAGAAGTTCTGTCTTCAATTTCTGATCCTCAATTCTTCTAACCTTTATGGGGAGGAGGGGAGTCCCTTAACTTTAACTCAATTAGAGTAATGGTATCTCAAATAAAAATTCATAAACATTAGCCCCTTAACTCATCAAAGAGTGCAGCTATGGTCATTTTTGTCAACTCTGTCAAAATTCAGTAAAAATGACTCATGGTGGAAGGACCATTACTACAATTAGGTTAAAGTTGATAGATCTTTGCTCTAATTAGATTAAAGTTGAGGGACCATTTCTCTAATTAGGTTAAAGTTGAGGGATCATTGCTACAATTTTTTTTCATTTGGTTTTCCATATTTGCTCATTGATTTAGCCTCAAATGCGTGACACTAACTCATTTTGACGGAAGTTATAACGGAGTTGATGAAAATGACTATAACTGCACGTTTTGATGAGTTAAGAGACCAATGGTCATGAATTTTTAATTGAAAGACTACTGTTCCAATTTGGTTAAAGTTAAGAGACAATTTCTATAACTTTTTCTTATGGGAAGGAAGGGGGGAGGTTTGAGGGTGGGAACTAGTTGTTTAGCAAGACTTGGGGCCTTTTATAGTCATTTTTGATCGTTTTAAACTCGGGCCATCATTGAACGGTATATGTTTAGGATTTTGTATATTAAGGCCCATTAAATGGGCCCGCTCTGTTTGGTGAGAACAAGAGGCCCAACCCATCTCAGAAAAGGGCAAAAAAACACATGCAGAGCTTAAAGGGATGATTTGAGAAGACGAAAGCAAACAGGTGCTCATCATAGTCCAGTCCAAACAGCAGCTCAAAAGTCAACAAATATGGCGGTTGCATCCCCGTTCGAGCATGCAGGGAAGCTATTATGTCCGCCGTCGCTTTCGCCAGCCATCGGGGGAGCCAGGAGACCAACGGCAACACTGAAAACTCGAACACTGACGCGAAGTTTGACTTTTAATATTTCCTCAGTGGAATCTTAATTAAACTAATCCTTGCATTTTCTTACTGTAGCAATAAATTAGTTGTTTTCGTGTTCCTTAGCATGATGTGGGATTTAGGTTGGCAAGGGTCATTTTGGAGATAGTGTCTACGAATTATTTTGTGATAATTAGGTGAATAATTAAGCATTCGACGTCTATATCTAAAGTTATATAGTATCGTTTTATTATGTAACTGTATAATGAAAAAAAAAATCTTAAACTCTTAATCGTAAAGCAGACTATACTAATATAACTAATCACTAATTAAACTAACAATTCAATTAATCATTACCAAAAATCATACAAATTATTCAATAAACAAAAATTTAATTCAACTAATCAATATGAATAAGCATATTCATTATTCAATAATTCAATTAATCAATCAATAATCAAGAATTCAATTTTTATCCTAAACAACAATTTCATTAATCAATACTCATAGAATTTATATTGATTATCACAACTCAATAATGATATTAGTGTACCTATAATTGTATATTAATTAAATAAAAATAATCAATTAGGTTTGAAATAATATAAATTTAGAAAATAAAAAAATTTATCTCAAATTTGGGAAAGGGCTGCTGGAGTGGCGTTTTGATGCTTTCTAGTATTGGGGCACACATTTGAAAATGGATATGTTATCCACACACTCCTTTTTACTTTTCACACACCCCTTATTAATTTATGTTCGTTGATTTTCTTCAATTCATCCGATCCGACAGCCGAAAACTAAAAAAGTATGGAAAAAGTAAAAATGGGTGTGTGGATATCACATCCCTTTGAAAATTGAAGGGATTTGTCATTTGGGAAATGTGGAACGGGTTAGATGGGAAAGGGGAACAGTGGTCCCCCCGCAATATTATAATTTTTTTTTTCAGATAGCAAGCGAAATGATGCCGTCTTACTTTTAAAATTAAACAACAAAAGCCATGCGCATAGGGAGCCGCGCAGCAGTATGAACAAACAGAAACACCATTGTGTTTTCCAGTTTCCGACCAAACCAGAGAGGTTTAGGACTCGGTCTTAGGCATGTTTTCCGACGAGCGGAGTGGCAACCGTCACTCCTCGCCCCTATGTAGCTTCGCCACTGTATGTTCACAACTTGGACTATAGTAAGCAAACACGAGCCGAATCCAATAATATACATATATATATATATTGATGGTGTGGTCCTATACGTTCTTGCTGGCTGTACGGTGTTTGTTAAGTGTGAATCCACACAGGAGTAGAAGTGAATATTTTCTGCCAATCAAAGGCTAGAAGTCTTAATCAAATGGCAGTTTAATCTGCATTTCGGACATGAGGGTTTGTTATTTAGTGTTATTTTCAATCCGATTCCCGACTCGGTCTTGTCTAATCCGATTCCCAACTCTTCCGTTCCTCGCGTTTTGTGAGGTCTACATAATTTGGCTTGGTAAAACAAGAAGTACATTACAAACGACTTGGGAGAGAAGAAAATTAAGAACCTTCGTCAATGCTTTTTTTTTTTTGAAGTCAATGTTTTTACCTGCGGCTAAGTCAAAATAATTAAGGAACTTGAACAACTAGTCTCAATGAAGCATTAATTAATCCAGATTAACTGCATATTATAGTCGGTAGAACTTTTGATTTGTTTTCGAAAATGAATTTCATGGATCGATATATAACATCATCATTTGCATGAAAATTTGTTTGCTGCAGAAAATACTAGCAGGCTTCGGTTTCTGCCACTCGAATGCGCTCTCTCTCTCTACTCGATCCACCTTGTAAACTGAAAGCCTCCTAAACTTAGCCACTCGAATGGGTTCCGAGGTCCTGTAACAGATCTTGAAACGACATAAAAAAAAACAAATTGCACCCACAAGAATCATGAATTTAAACTATTAGGGGGTTTATCAAATCCCAAGCCCTCATGATGAGGGAGAAAAGCAAAATATGTTGAATATCAACACCAGCCAATTGGTGTTTGTGTTGAAGTGTAATCTTACCTTGGCCCAAGATGATATGCTAAAGTATGATCCATGCAAATGCTAGAAACTTCTTGCATGGATATGTCGGTGGATCACTAGCTAGAAAGATCTAGATATTTGTACAATTGTGAGGTTGTCATGCAAAGTCCATGTCGGTGGGCTGTTTGTAGAAAAGTCTAGAACGATGGCTAGGATGATGTAATCAAGTAAGAAGAAAGTAGCCAAGAAGAGAGAGCTAAGTAAGAGAGTGAGAAGTCTTGTAAGTGAGTAGTCTTGTGAAGAGTGTGAGTGGTCTAGAGTGTGTCTCTAGAAAGTATGATCCATGTAAATGCTAGAAACTTATTGCATGGATATGTCGGTGGATCACTAGCTAGAAAGATCTAGATATTTGTACAATTGTGAGGTTGTCATGCAAAGTCCATGTCGGTGGGCTGTTTGTAGAAAAGTCTAGAATGATGGCTAGGATGAAATAAGTCCATTCCACCGACTTAGTAAGTCGGTTTAGCAAGCCTATAAATATGTAATGGTGTAATTCAAGTAATGTAATCAAGTAAGATGAAAGTAGCCAAGAAGAGAGAGCTAAGTAAAAAAGTAGGAAGTCTTGTAAGTGACTAGTCTTGTGAAAAGTGTGAGTGGTCTAGAGGGTGTCTCTAGAAAGAGTGAGTGTCATAACTTCTATCATAACTTCTAAAGAGTGTCCTTGAGAGTTTGTGTGTTGTAATATTTTGTGTGTGTAATACAAGTAATTTGTTTACTTGTGTTGTCTCTCCAACACTTGTGTTAGAGTTATGTACTCTAGTTTTTACTCAACAATTGGTATAAGAGCGGTACGATCAGGGACTGTTTCTAGTGAAGCTTTCGAGAATCGTGAGAAGTCTAGTACTTTGCAAGATTGTTAACTAATCTTGTTCGGCTTATCGCTATTCTACCGACACAATGGGAGATCTTCAAGTTGTTGGAGGAATCAAAAAGTTGAACAACAAAAATTACAACACATGGGCGACGTGTATGGAGTCTTACCTACAAGGCCAAGATCTTTGGGATATCGTTAGCGGTAATGAAGTTACGGATCCGGCTCCGGTTGCGGATCCGGCTCCGGTTGAGGATCCGGCTCCGGTTGAGGATCCGGCTCCAGTTGCGGATCCGACTCCGCCTACGCAGATTTCGAGGGAGAGGAAAATCAAAGAAGGTAAAGCCATGTTTGCCTTAAAAACCACAGTTGAAGATGACATGTTGGAGTACATATGGAAGGCCAAGACACCAAAAGAAGCGTGGGACACCTTCGCCAGACTCTTTTCAAATAGGAAAGTTACAAGATTGCAGCTTCTCGAGAACGAGTTGTTTTCGGTGGCCCAACGAGACATGACGATTGCCGAATATTTCTACAAGGTAAAGTCTATTTGCCGTGAACTTTCTGAATTAGATCCTACTGCTACCATTGCAGAATCTAGGCAAAAAAGAATAATTATCCATGGATTAAGACCCGAATATCGAGGCATCGTCGTCGCTGTACAAGGATGGCAGATCCAACCATCACTTGTTGAGTTTGAGAATTTGCTTGCAGATCAAGAAGCTTTGGCAAAGCAAATGGCAGAGGTCTCATTAAGAGGTGAGGAGGAATCGCTCTACACCAAAAGTAAAGGCAACTTTAAGCAGCGTGCTAATGGTGGATCTAAAAGAAATGGTGACAAGGAAAAAGGTCATCAAGGAGGAATATCAATTGATGTTTATGTTGAAGATTGAAGATTAATCTTGCCTTGGCCCAAGACGATATCCAGCCCGAGCACTGACGTGAAGTTTGACTTTTAATATTTCCTCAGCGGAATCTTAATTAAACTAATCCTTGCATTTTCTTACTGTAGCAATAAATTAATTGTTTTCGTGTTCTGATTAGTGATTAATTATCATATGTTCACAACTTGGACTATAGTAAGCAAACACGAGCCGAATCCAATAATATATACATTGATGGTGTGGTCCTATATGTTCTTGCTGGCTGTACGGTGGTTGTTAAGTGTGAATCCAAACAGGAGTAGAAGTGAATATTTTCTGCCAATCAAAGGCTAGAAGTCTTAATCAAATGGCAGTTTAATCTGCATTTCGGACATGAGGGTTTGTTGTTTAGTGCTATTTTCAATCCGATTCCCGACTCGGTCTTGTCTAATCCGATTCCCAACTCTTCCGTTCCTCGCGTTTTGTGAGGTCTACATAATTTGGCTTGGTAAAACAAGAAGTACATTACAAAACGACTTGGGAGAGAAGAAAATTAAGAACATTCGTCAATGCTTTTTTTTTTTTTTTTTGAAGTCAATGTTTTTACCTGCGGCTAAGTCAATATAATTAAGGAACTTGAACAACTAGTCTCAATGAAGCATTAATTAATCCAGATTAACTGCATATTATAATAGGTAGAACTTTTGATTTGTTTTCGAAAAGGACTTTCATGGATCGATATATAACATATCATTTGCATGAAAATTTGTTTGCTGCAGAAAATGCTAGCAGGCTTCGGTTTCTGCCACTCGAATGCTCTCTCCCTCTCTACTTAAACGACATAAAAAAGAACAAATTGCACCCACCAGAATCATGAATTTAAACTATTAGGGGGCTTATCAAATCCCAAGCCCTCAGATTGGCAATGGAGAGCGCTGTGGCTGCTTCTCGGTTGTGTTTGGGCTTCACTGTTGTTGGGCTCACTTTCTGTATTTTCTTTGTTTTTAGGCCATTTTTTTGTTTGTTTATAAAAATAACTTAGGCCTTTGTTTGTTTATAACTGTGTGTTTGTTGTTTAATAAAATCTTTCCCTTGACCCACAAAAAAAAAATATATAGAAATAAAAAAACCTTGGCTTATATGTTGCATTGGAGCAATTTAAGTCATTCGTGTTTCAATCTCACCTTCCGCTTTCAAATGCCAAGCAGTTAATTTTCTGCATATTAATTGTCTGTCTAATTCTTCTCATGAACTCTCGTATGCATACCCACTTGTTTATGTATATACCTTATAAACTCTAATTGTCTTTGAAACAGCATCCTACTGGATCTTTTTTATGTTTTTTTCATGATTTTGATGGGTGCAATTTGTTCTTTGGCAAGTGTCTTCGCCCATGAGCGGTAGGTCTCGGGTTCGAGACTTGGGAGCAGCCTCTCCATAAATGGGGGTAAGGCTAGCCGACATTCACCTCTCCCAGACCCTGCGTAAAGCGGGAGCCTTGTGCACTGGGTACGACCCAAGATCTGTTACAGGACCTCGGAACCCAGTGACTACAAGGGCATTATATGCCCCAATAAAGGGAATTCGTGATGAACAGGGGAAATTCCTTCCTATATGGAGTATGATATTTGTAATGTCCTGTATGTTTGCCGTCTCACTAGATCCTCTCTTCTTTTACATTTTAATCATGGGAATTTTAACGAAAAGCATCCGGTACTGTTCATTTTAACGAAAAACCACATTTTTACACTAAAAAGTCAATATTTGTACTATTCACTTTACCATTTATTTTGTCCTTATCATTAAAACTCAAAGTTTTCAAACACTTTTAATTAGTTTTCCTTTTAATCATTGATCAAGATAAGATGTGCCTTCAAATGGACAAAACACTGAGCACTACTGTTCTCCTTGTACATCACTGGCTTCAGATGGTGGCACAACTTTTCCAACACACTTGTATTCAGCTTTACCAACATTGATAAATTAGTCAAAAGTTTCAGAGTCAGTTGGCTACACATTACTAATTAACATCAAGATAAACATACATACAGGTACAGGGTTTGTATTGAAAAGACCTTTATGCAATTAGTAATGGAACTATTAATATGAAAGGATTTAACTTTATGAGGTTTTCGATGTGAGACATGCTTCAACATATATTAGTTCAATAATATATGTGTGTGTATATAATATATATATTATAAGAGTAATATTAGGAAGATCAAAATATTAAACTAAATTTTGTATATCAAATGATTTCGTCTCTCTAGCATTATCATTTTCGAATAGCTAGGAGATCCACTCGATTGCATGCTCTTGATTATTGAGTGTGGACCTATTCGTCTACAACTTCTCCGGCCGGCAATATTAACCGCCGTCCGCCTTGGGAAAGGTCAGATTTTTGGGTGAAGATTCTCAATTGTGCTTCACTACCCGCTTTGATACAAAGTTCCAGTCTCCACCCAGCACGTCAAAACTCGGACAAAAGTGAAAGCCTATGTTCTCATGGCCAACGACTCGTCAACGGTGGTCTCCGAATGCTAACTACACACGGACTTAGATTAACATATATTTGTCGTCTCTTGGTCAGAGACTGTGACTTTTGATTACTTGAATTAACGTACATTTTTAACATGAATTAAATTAACATATATTTGTCGTCTACTGATTAATTTGTTTGATATATGATGACTTGGACGTGTAAATGAGAGTCTAAATAAGAGTAAATTATAGCAATGATTTCTTAATTTTAATTTAATTGGAGCAATGGTTATTTAATCAAAAATATATTATCATTGGTCCCTCAACTTATCAAAACGTAGAGCTATGATAATTTTCATCAACTTCATTAGAACTTCTGTCAAAATGAGGCATGTGTCATGTAAGTGAGGTTGAATCAAGGGGCAAATATGAAAAATCAAATAAGAAAAATTGTATCAATGGTCTCTCAACTTTAATTCAACTGGAGAAATGATTCCTCAACTCTAACTCAATTGGAGCAATGGTTTTTCCAACATAACTTATTTTGACAAAATTCTGATGGAGTTGATAAAAATGATCATAGCTATATGTTTTGATGAATTGAGAGACCAATGATAATTGATTTTTAGTTGAATGACCATCGCTATAATTTACTCCCTAATTAATTAATCAAGAAAACTGCAAGTGTTTAATTATTGATTATTTTTAAGGCGATGAAACAGAGAGTCAACCCCAATTGTAAACTATACATTGTTTCTATTGTCTTGGTTGACTAATTTATCAAATGTTGATAACTATATAATAAACAAGAGCCAAATGCATATACAAAGAGAAAGACTACTCTTCCAACGATAGTCATCAACATCTGATAAATTAGTCATCAATATCAGATCTAGATACACTACTATTTTTGTGGAAGTATTATTTTTCAAACCATGATACTATTACTGACAGAGGGTGAAGGACACAACCGATTTTATAACGATCTTAAAGTAATAACGCGTTGATTTAGTCACCACTAAAGCCACAAAGGGCTTTCTAATTTAATTTTTTTCATAAACTCCAATTGCTTCATAGGAATTGAAAAGAAAAAAAAAATATTCCTTCGTATATTTATAGTTATTATCATCAATTTTTTTATGAATAATATTCGGATACTAATTTTTTTTTAATCAAACAATAAGTTTTGTTAAATTAAATATTAAATTAACCATTAATCTTCTAATAGACCAATAAAATGAAGACACATGTGCATTTTCAAGTCTCTAACAATACAACCAGACATTCCTTATCTGCAAACCAAACATTCTTCTTCTCCCTCATCGAACACTGGATCCCCTCTCATCTCCGGCGACGCACCCGCAACTCCTCTCTTCGCCGGTGACCCCAATCCCTCTTTCCTGCGACCCACCGATCCCTTTCTTCTACAGAGACTGCGATCGTCGTCCTCCGTTATGGACGACGGCGATGATTGCGACCAGTCATCATCAATCAGGACAGTCCCTCTCACCATTTGATCTCAATCTGGTGATGTTTGTGGCGACGAGAAAGATCCTGAAGCCACAATTTCTGCCATTAATTAATTTGGATCTCCATAGTGGTTAGATGGGTGATAGCCTTTGTGAAAGAATTTGCAATGTTTTTGCTGGTCGGGAGTGAACTGTGGGCGGAGAGAAGGAGAAGCAGAATGTTTGGTTTGCAGGACTATAGTGTTTGGTTGTGCATGGACAGATGTCTTTATTTTATTGGAGGTCAGTAAATTTTGGGTGGTGAACAGTCAGTACCCAAGTATTATCCTTCTTTTATTATGATAATTTTCGCGATTACATGCAAATATCGATTTCCAGTCATTAAATAATTGTTTTTTAATTATTGAAATGCTTAAACCCTAGTATAATTTTTTAAACTAAAAGGATTTGCACACAATGTGTCCATTCTATATGTCAAAAAAATTGTCACTGGCATCCATCTAAGGACCAACGACAACATTGAAATAATCCCAACCCGAGGCTTGACTTTTAATATTTTATCAGCGGAATCTTAATTAATTCCGGCATAAACTAATCCTTCTTGTAACTTTGCATTTTCTCATAGTAACAATAAATTAGTTATGTTCGTGTTCGGGTTAATGATTAATTATCATAAGTTCGCTACTTGGATTATAGTAAGCAAACACGAGGTAAATCCACATATGTATATTGATGGTCCTATATGTTCTTGCTGGATAAATAGTGGTTCCTAAGTGTGAATCCAAATAGGTATGGAAGTGAGTATTTCTGCTAATCAAAGGGTACATCAAATGCCTGTTTAATCTGCAAGTCCGACTCGGTCATGTTTGATTGAAGTGCTAAAATATGATCATGGGAATTGTTGATTTCACCCTTACCAACTCTTCCGTCCACGCGGTTTGTAAAGTTTGCATAATTTGGTTCGGTAAAACAAGAAGTAAATTACAGAGAATTGGGAGAGAAGAATTTAGGAACCTTCGTCGATGCAAGAAATTAGGAACCTTCGTCGATGCTTCTTTTTTTTTTTTGCCGAAGTCGATGCTTATTTATTTATTAAGTCAATTTTTTTTTAATAAACTTGAACAACTAATCTCAACGAAACATTAATTAATCCGGATGAACTGCACATTAATAGGCAGAACATTGATTTGTTTTCGGAAAGGAATTTCCTGGATCGGTAACAATCTTTTGTTTGCTGCAGAAAATACTAGCAGGCTTCGATTTCTGCCACTCGGATGCGCTCTCTCTCTACTCGATCCACCTTGTAAACTGAAAGCCACCTACACTTAGCAATCCAGGTATCGTTGCTATAAGCTTCCATGTAACTAAACTCTCTCTCTCTCTCTCTCTCTCTCTGATGATCACATATTTTTACTGCCAGGCTAGCAGGGAATACTGATCAT